ATATAGTTGTAGACCGCATGCTATAGTGTAAATATAGTTGTAGACCGCACGTTATAGTGTAAATATAGTTGTAGACTGCACGTTATAGTGTAAATATAGTTGTAGACCGCACGCTATAATATAGTTGTAGACCGCACGCTATAGTGTAAATATAGTTGTAGACCGCACGCTATAGTGTAAATATAGTTGTAGACTGCACGTTATAGTGTAAATATAGTTGTAGACCATACGTTATAATGTAAATATAGTTGTAGACCGCACGCTAGTGTAAATATAGTTGTAGACTGCACGCTATAATATAGTTGTAGACCGCACGTTATAGTGTAAATATAGTTGTAGACCGCACGTTATAGTGTAAATATAGTTGTAGACCGCACGTTATAGTGTAAATATAGTTGTAGACCGCACGTTATAGTGTAAATATAGTTGTAGACCGCACGTTATAGTGTAAATATAGTTGTAGACTGCACGTTATAGTAGTACCACAGTTTTGTTATCATTACATGGACTGGACTTTACATTATTTTTGCTAAAAGGACCCACTGAATGATAGAAACTATTACAAAAAATACACATCAAACAGATAATTTAATTACTTCTGAATTATTCTGATTTGATGTAAACAACTCTCGGGAATTTCATAGATTCAAATATAATTCCTCTGTACTTTGATATACTCCATTTAACCAATCACAAGCATCTTACTTGAGCTTACCTTTAGTGTACTGAAAGGGTGTTGGATGGATTTCACTCTTACTTTCAGGATCTTGTAGTTCTGAAGGAGCCAAATATTTCTAATAATTAATAACACATATAAGCACATTCGTAAACAAATAAAAATACATGACCAAAGAAAGTGTAAAATATAAGGATATTTCATCTTTAGATTCAATATGATCACAAACTTTTCAAGTATTCTTTACTGGAAGAAGTGACAAGGTTACTGACAGATGTTAAAACAGCTAAGTATGTGAATGGTACTTACAGTTTAACAATATAAATCTCTGTAGAGCAAGAATAACTTTAATTACTCACAAAGCATTCAATTATCAATGTTTGTATTGCAGTTCACAACTACATATTTCAACAACAGTTATTATTCTCCTGTAGAAGAAGTCTACTAATTGAAAGCGCTCCGGTTTTGGGTCTATTTTTGAAATTCATTGGATCTTTTGTGTGTGATCCTGTGTGCTAATTTGTTATGAAAACTGTATTCCACTCATGGCTCACGGACCCCAGTTTACTGAAGGTAACTTACCCCTTCTTTCACCTTACACTGCCATTTTTGAAGATTCTAATATTTAATACTTCCATCAACACCCTTCTTACATTAACGACCAACATATTATAATTAAATACATTAGTGGAGCCACTTTAATTGACCTTTTACACACTATAACATTACTGCCATAGTCTGTAAATATACAGTTCTTCACGAAGAAACTAACGACCTAAAATGACATGGAACGACGGCTTACGACTGTTCTAATGACCTACAAACCTTACTAGTACATATTTTTACTCACCATACTGACCTTCGTGTTTGTTTCTCTAGCATCATCTACCATGATGTCAATAGACATACTGATTTACCTCTAAGACAATAGACCTGTACTACTGACTCTTTAAATCAGAAAATTGACAAATTTAACACCCTTTCATTTTACATCTGTTTACGTAACCCACACTTATCCTTCCTTTCCAACACCAACTTGAAACCAGGACACATTTCTTAGCAAACAATGGTTTCCTCTAATTTATTCTCCTTTATTATTATCTATATTCTCCCTCATCTACAAACAATTACTGAATACTCCAACCTAAGCTCATCAAACACTCCTAATCCTAAATCTCCTTCAACCTCTTTAAGGTCCCTTTATTCTTCTGAAGAAGAACGGTCTACTATTCGAAAGCACCCAAGTTTTGGGTCTTTTCTTTTAAATTAATTGCACTTTTTGTGCATCATCCTGTGTGCTAAAATGTTATCAGTCTAATAGAGAAGCAACTATTTAATATAATTAAAGTCTATTAATGGAAACTTTCTTAATAAATTATGGAACATTAGGGGCTTTTTGGTTCATCCTGACTCTCAACCTCACTCAACAAACAGAAAATTAATCACTATATTACTACTCTGATTTCCCAACTATTCATAAAACCCTTCAATAAACTCCTCTAAATTTGTAGCCTCTACCACTCCAAATGGCGATTTATTTAACACTCTATTGGAAAAATAGAATTGCCCCTTTTGAAGATCTGACTGACCTTTAACAGTTCTTAAATATATAATTTCTTGTCTTAATTCTCTAACAATTCAACACAAAAGTATCTGATGCATCAGTCTTATCATTTTCCTTCATAATTTTAAATCCTTCATCTAGCTCACCTCTGACCTTTCTTTGTTGAAGAGAGAACCTGAACCTATGTTAAAATTACAGAACTTATTTCCCCTGAATCATTGTAGTAGTGTTTCTCTCAACGTGTTCCAATAACTCAATGTCTCTACCGTCTAACGTAAGGAGACAAGAATTATACAAAATATTCCAACCGAAGTCTGACTAGTGACAAATACAACCATGTAGTCAATATCCCTATGTATACAAATTTTGTTAACTTTATTACTTGAAGTGGAAAAACTGTGCCAAAGGCTTAAGAACTATATCAGCCAATATCTCAAGATTATATGCTTTATCTGCATAATTTGGGGGATTCCCATCTAACTTATTTGTGTAATTATGTTCTAAACCACAGGAGTAACCTAATGCTTGGAACCTTCCATGTGTTTGTCCAACTAGCCTCTCTGTAAAATTATAGCATTTTCATTACAGCCAATCAGATATAAGAGTTTATATCATCAATAAACTTAACCAATTCTTTGTAACAATTATTAGAAATTTGTCAAAAAAAAGACAAAATCCATTAGAGAAATAATTTCACCTGTGTATTCTTAGTGAATGTACTACATTTAGAACAATTACTTTGAATTAGGACAAATTCATATTTTTGTAATGAGATACATGAACCAAATGTTTTGACTTTAAACTTGTTTAGAACTAACAAAATGACTTAAAAACTACGAATGAGATTTGGCCACCTGGTAAAGGGGGTTTGGGATTATATACATAAAGGTTGAAATAATGAAATCTGCATTCATCCCTGTTCTTAGTCTGCACTTGACGAGCTATGTCCGTCCTATAAAAAGTAAAAATGTAAAATATATATAATTTTTTGACACAGAAAAATTCTATCTGCTTTTTATACATTTTCCAAGAAAATTATTTTCAACATGCTTAGATAATTTCAATTGTTGTGAAACGTTATAAAATAAAGTTATATCTTTATCCAATAAAGGAGAAACTACAAAAATTGTTTCAATTAAAACTTGTTTTTGAAAACATGACCAAACCTAATACATCTGTATCTACTCTTTCCACGATATTTTACAAATATCAACAGTTTTATTTTTTACCGAGAAGAGTAATCTTATAATAATTTAGAAAACACACAGTTTCAAATCCCAGTTCAAAAACTTCCAACATTCTCAGTCTTACCAGTTTTTTAAGCCAATCCTGATCAGATTAAGAAATAAGATGTGGATACTGATACAAGATCTTAAACAATTTTAAAACTTACCAGTTTCCTAAGCCACACCCTAATATAGCATCAAGAAGTCTAACTTCTTCAGCAGCTGTCCAGTTTTTATCCAGAAGTGGAAAATTATTTCTCTGAACAGAATTAAAACATAAAAGTTTGTTCATTTATACAGTCACATATAAGTATATAAGAAAAATGGTAATTCACGAACATAACATAAACGTTAGTAGAAAGTACATTGTATACATTATTTCACAAGGTAGCAGTTAGTAAATTAAAGAAAGTAACACTAATTACAATTTTTAGTACAGATATTTATTTCATAGGAACCAGAACAATAAATGGTATACAGTGATGGTTAGCTTAAGCCTCTAGAAAAGTCAGTATACTATGCCAGTAGAGCTGTTTGTAGGTCATTAATTTTTATTAAAATATTTATTTAGACACTTAATTTATTATAATATTTATAAATATATTTACATTTCAAGATATTATTTTTTTTATCTGCAAGTTTTCACTTCAAATAATATAGTAAGTAATTACATATTACACACCCACAATTCTTAGTACATACTCAGTCCAGTAAGACGTAAATAATTATTTGAAAAATTAATGAATTAACAAATGAATATTGCAAGACTCCCAACAACGATGCCTAAAAACTGAAACAAATCTTAACTCTTATACAAGTTACAACTTACAATGTGTTTAGTTTGTATTATTTCAATATTTGGTTGGTTAGGCTTAAGGATGCAAATAGGTGAAATACTACATTTGATTTTGATGAGTTGTAAGAAATCTTGCTGATCTAAATGACCTTCTATCACTATGCTTATATATATATATATTCGTATAATAAAAAAAATCTTTGATCACTGGTACCAAATATATCGTTTTTTTGGTGTGAAGACAAAGTAATGATAAAAAACTAGTATAAATGATTATTAAACGTTAGGCTTAACAGTACCAGTATTAACAATAGGCTACTGGTATTGAGTATTTATTTTCAGGCTATAAGTATAAATACAGTGATAAATAACTAGTGAAGGAATTAAGCATTCCCAGTTTGTTAGGTGTAATGGGTGGGTTTTACTTAGGAACTCGGGACTAGTATGTACTTTTAAGGAAGCTAGTAATGAAGATATGCAATTTTTATGTAGAGTTTGTAGGTTGGGGGCTATAATGAGAAGTGTAGATTGTGGGAAATGGCAGCAGGATTTCAGGAGGAGCTTAAGCTTTTACATGCAAGGAATACATCAGCTAACAATGACTTTCAGGAAGTTAGAAACAGTACGATTAATGTTAAAAGCCCTTGGCTTCTGCAGATGAGGAATTATTGGAGGGAAGGAAAACAAAAGGGTTAGAGAAAGATGTGGATGATAAGGTGGTTATAGTTATAGGTGATTCCTTGACAAGACATGTGGATAGGATAGTCTGTTGGGTAAATAGGGAGAAAAAAATATTATTATGTTATCCACGAGCACAGGTGGAGGATATAACCGACAGAGCAGGAGATATAATAAAGGGGGCTAGCAGAGATGCAGTTTTTTGTAGTGAATGTAGGGGGCTAATGATGTAGGGAAAGGTTGGTCAGAGGAGCTAATTAATAAGTACAAGGGGTTGATAAAGACAGTTAAAGAAAGATGCCATAACTAACTTTTGTCAGGGATACCGTCCAGAATTAACTGTGGGGATGAAGTTATCAGTAGGTCACTAGGACTAAATGCTAGGTTTAGGTTAGTACGTAAGGATGAGCAGATTGGCTGGTTGGACTTGTGGGATCAGTTCAGTAGAAGAGGGGAGCTTTTTTTGAATGGATGGTTTACATTTAAATAGGATAGGGGCTGGCTTGTTTGCTACAGCTATCAACTCAGCTGTAAGGGAAGTTTTAAACTTCGACTAGACAGTGGTGAGGGCCAGAAAAACTAAATGCAAAAAAGAATAAGGGAAAGAAAAGTTTAGCACAAGAAATGAGTATAGAAGTAGTTATAAGTATAGGCTTAATTGTTGGTATTGTAATGTTAGAAGTAAATAAATAAAATAGATGACTTTCGAGCACTGGTACGAATGGAGGATTTTGATATAATGGGAATAAATGAAACATGGTTAAAAGTAGATAATTTTGATGACAGATATTTCTTTGAAATACAGGGTTACAGGCTATTTAATAGGGACAGAGTACTAAAGAGAGGGGGGAAGGAATGGCTTTGTATGCAAAATATGAGTTAGATCCTGTTGAAGTTGAGAATATCAAAGAGATTAAAATTATTTGGGTTTCTATTAGTGGATATAAAGGGAAAAGGCTTTTAGTGGGAATATGTTGCAGACCACCAGGTGATACTGATGAAATTAGTAAGATTTGGGGTATCTGGATTTTCAGAAAACATTTAACAAGGTGTTACATAAAAGGCTTGTAAAATAATTATTTTTATACGTGTGGGGGATATGTTAGCAAATTGATAGAAGAATGGCTGGATGGAAGAAAGCAGAGGATTGTTACAAATGGAGTTCAGTCAAACTGGATTAATGTCACAAGTGGGGTACTTCAGGGCTCAATCTTAGGACCTTTGCTATTTTTGATTTACATGATGGAGGAATAGTCAATAAATTACTTAAATTTGCTGATAATATTGAGGTCTTGGGTGTTGCTAACTGTTGCTGATTTATAAAATAATTTAGATCATTAAGTAAGTTTGGCAAATAAATGGCAGATGGGTTTTAATTATAAATAAAATGCAAGA